GAGGGGAGTGATTGACTTTGCAGTCCAGGAGCGTAGGTCCCTGGAACCATCAAGGGAGAAGAGCGGAGGGCGAGACCCTACCCAGAAAAGCAGTGACACCAGAGATGGAGGCAGAGAAGATGATGTGGAGAGATGGAGCGACTGGGGACTCTAGACCTAGAGAGGGGAAGGGGCTGTGTGCTGATGACCTGGGGGCAGGTTTTCAGGGTATACCCTTTGGTTGGTTTGGAGAGGATTGTAACCATGGCAATGAAACAATATATGATAGGATGAATATAAAGCTAATGTTCTCCCATGTAAACTATCACATAATTCACAATAAAACATTTTTAAAAATATGTTTCTCTTTTGACATATTTGAATAGCTTCTTTTAAATATATAGTTTGACTTTTTTTTTTTAGTTTTACCACCAGAGAAGAAAATTCAGTTTTCTTGACACCTGTAGGTGCTTTTCTTTGTTTCCAAAACTTAACATCACCAAACTAGTTTGACCCAGTTAAGCATAATTGAAATGATTTGTTTGGAGTGAAGTGTGGTAGTCCTTAAACTGTAATGGTGTAAGGACAGTAGGTTTCTAGAGGAAACTTTTCGTAGTTTAGCATGTGGACAAATCAATCCATTCACTAGTGCCAATAAAAACCTCATTGTTTCTTATGTCTACAAATAGACAATGGAAAAAGTGGCTTATTCAGAATTGAAAACAGACTTGTGAGTTGCAAGTCCACAAAGAAGGAAATTGATTCAATTCTTTTACTATTCTTGATTCAGATTTGGAATTTCCGAGTGACTATCCATCAGGTTGTCTTCTTGGCTGTGTGAACCTGACTGACTGCATGTCGCAGAAGCAATTTAAGGAGCAAGTAAGTAAAGGTTACTTCTTTTGGACAGATGCCTGACTTACCACTGTGAAAGTATGCTACCATAACTGACCTGTAGTTCCTTATCCATAGAATATTTTGGAAACTAGTAAGGTGCAAGCAATTTTGTATTTAGACTTATGAGGAGAGTCTTTTAATAAGGAGATGTTGAGCAGAAAAAAAAAGACAAGGGCAGGAACAGAAAATACTTATTGATGCTTTGATTTTTGGTGTATAGACTAGTGCATATACATTTCTTTAAAAAAAAGCTATCACGAAAATCTGTCTAAGACGCATAGAGACCCATTCCTTAATAAAATTTTACCTCTTTTGGTCAAGAAGCACTTGATTATCCCTTCAATCATTTTGATTGAGTGGTGAGGATAGTTGTTATTGTTAGGTGCCATCGAGTCAGTACCGACTCATAGCGACCTTATGCACAGCAGAACAAAACACTGCCCGATCCTGGACCAACCTCACTAGTATTGCCATGCTTGAGTCCATC